CATTGTGATATAACTTCTTTGGAAGGATGAGGAAAATGAAGAGGGAGTAGAAATTCTCATCAACTGTGAGTCAATAGGTAATGAAGAGCTGATCAATCAGGAGGTAACAGTGTCAACATAGGATTCAGAACATAGATGTAAACAGGAGAAAAAACAAAAATAATTGCTTCTGGAGATGAACTAGGAGGGCATAGAAAGCTGATGTAAGTGCTGTTTCTCATTTAAACCTTTCCCAACTCCTCCATTTTTCTAACTGTGCAAGTGTTACTTTCATATATATAACATTGATTTTTAAAAGAGACAACTTGATTGTAGCTTCACAGTACTTCATGAGGAAATAGATTTGGACACTGGGATGTGTAGAGATGGGATGTATTGGTGATGGTCTTAGGGGTGATACAAGGAACTGAAGGAAACAGAGTTGAGCAGAGGGAGAAGTGAAACTGCTACATGTGTGGCAGGAGTCATAGTTGTGCCGTTGGAAGCTTTGAACCTGGGGTGGCCCTTCAGAAATGCCTAAGTGAGGGTAGGGCGGCCACCCTGTGTTCCCGAGTGTGTGCCAGTCATTAGACATACGCCACCAATGGCAGTAAAGCAGCTCCCTGTGGCTGAGGGCAGTTATGGAAGGCAGTCTTGGCAAGAGAGGATGACTGAGTACTTCTGTGCTTAGGGAAGATCTGGCTGGCTGTGTCAGTTTTTTGTTACTGTAATGAATAACCCAAGATAATCACTTATGAGGAGGAAGGTAAATTTTGGCTCACAGTTCTGGAGGGTGCACTCCATGATGAGATGGGCTCATTGCTCTAGGCCTCTGATGGGAGGGCAGCACTTCACAGAGAGGGACCCCGCATAGCAAACCTGCTCATATCATGCTCACATGTGAGGAAGAGGGATGGGCTGGTGTCCTACTACGGTATCTCCTCCAGCCTCCCCTCCCCAGTGACCAGAAGACCTCCCACTAGGCCCCCTCCCAGTTATGCCAAGCTTGGGACTACGTCCTTAACACATGAGCCTTTGGAGGGCATCCCAGATCCAAACTAGCACCAGTGCACTAATACTGTCCACTAATAATTCCAAAAAACTGTGGAATCCAGAAAAGGAAGAATTGATATCCATTGGGCAAATTTTAGATCCTCCAGGCCTGGCAGATTCTGTCAAGGACTGGTTTTAGTTTTAAAGTATGCTATACTGCCATAGGTCAGCCTGGGATTGACAATTTTACAAACAGACATACACACATAGCAGAAATTCTGTATTCTTTTGAAATATAGTCCAGCCAGAATCACAGCTGCAGCATATTGAATGACTGTACAGTAGTTTAATTCTTGAGCATTTTCTTATTAAGGGATTTTAAGCCCCTAAAGTGAGAAATGTAATATTGCCATCCGTCGTTGCTGTGAATATATATGTGGTTTGTCACTCCAATTGTAGGCTTAGACAGAATACTATTTACACAACACTTTGTAAATAGACTTTGTAAATAGTGGCTGGTAGGTGTTTAGTGCAGGAGAGTGTAAGACACTGTCCTTAGAAAGTGAAGACCTTTGGGAAGCCGGGTTCTCAGGAAAGCAGTCTTAAATCTTGTGTGTTTTTGCAGTTTAGAAGACTGCTGTAACTGCAGTGTCATGCATTCAGCAGCTGTCCGCTGAGCACTGCCTTGTGCACATCACAGAGCAAGGAGCCTAGAGTCTGACTGAAGAGTAAAGCCGTGCGAATGTAAGGAAATACAGTTCAGGATGGAGTGGTAGTGCGCCCTAAAACGTAACGCGGTGTGAAGCGCTTGTGGGAGATGAGAGAAGAGAAAGGTGTGCTTTTGCTTGGAGTTATCAGGAGCGGAGGAGGTGGTAGAGCTTGAACAAGGCTTTGAAAAATCTTAAGAGGACAAGAATTTGGTTCTGAGATTTGGAGAAAACACAAAAGTTTATCAGAGAGAGGGAAAAGGAGAAAATTAAAAACTGTTTTCCCTTCTCTAGTGAAGCAGGACTGAGTCAGTCAGAGGGCACAGTGTAAAATTTGGATCCCTGCACCTTCAGAAACACTAACGTGACAAAACATTACAGAAAGGCACTATTGCACCAATCATGAGCGCGAAGGAGCCTTCCTATGATACTGAAGTTTACACAGCTGGCTCCTACAACAAGTGTGTACATCTTTAATAATGTTTCTTATAAGCAAAACTACAGTGATAAAAACACATGGATTACCTTTGAAGATGCTAGGGAACCAATTTTGTTTTGAAAACCGATAAAGGCGAAATACCTCAAAGACTTATTTTGTAATCCTGTATAAACTATATATCATGGTAACCAATTAGAATGAATTTTCTACGGAGATATTCCAGCTAATAGATAAAGATGAATGATTGAATTCAAATGTCACTATTTTGGAATTCCTAATGAAATAATGGATCTCAGCAGTAATCATAAATGGCTGCTAATATAACAAAAACAAAGGTAATGTAATATAAATATGCAGTATCACTTACAAAGCATTCTTACCCCGAAAAAATCAAACCTGAAATTGATCAAGTATCAATACCCAATTACTTGATGACAGAGGAATATGTTACATTTTATCAGCAGAGTGCAGTCAGCAAAAAGCCAGCACAAAATTCTGACCCAGTATGTTCAACAAATACATTGAGGGAGAAAGGGAAGGAGGGAGGGAGGAAGGAGTAGGGAAAAAGGAAGACAGAGGGTGTCTAACTTTTCTTGTTGCTGAGACATAATACCTGACACCCAAAGTGAAATTGGGGAAAGGTTTATTTAGCTTGTAGTATGTAGAGGTTTCAGTCCGTAATCAGCTGGCTCCAAGCCAGAGTGGCATGGCATAGGGGGGCATTGCAGAGGAGAACCAGTTCATGGTGGGCAGAAAGTAACAAAACAAGCAAGAGGCCTTAACAGCGGCTTTCTACCCCTTTTATCTTATCTGGGCTACTCAGGGCAGGTAGCAGTCACACCCTTAATCCTAGAGCTTGATCCTAACATTGCACCATGAATCAATCGCAGCATCACACGCTGTAGATCCAGCTACCTCTAAAAAGCCCCAGATAGGGCTGCATGAGGCTTTGGTGGTACACCTAGACCCAGGCCATAACAGAGGGAGGAGAGAGGAGGCAGGAAAGGAGGGCTTGTGGTGAGATGATTAGATAGGGCTTACAGATTTCATGATTCAATAGACACGTTAACTAATTTGAAGTACGGAATTTACTGACTCCTGATACAATTAAGTGATTAAGAGTTTTTTGAAACATTTGGGGAAATTTGTACTGATCAAATATTGATTACTATTCATTTTAGTAATATGTATGATATTGTGTTTATTTTTGATAACAGATGCATACAGAAATATTTACAGATAAAATAATATAATGTCTGAGAGTCACTTCAAAATAATCTGAGGTGGGAGGAGGCAGGTGGGATATCGATGAAGCAAGGTTAATTTCAAATTGATCCTTGGTGAGACTGCACCATTGGTACATGGGGGTTTGTTCTCTGGTTAGTTTTGACTTTCCCTCCCTCCCAGCCCTCTTTCCCAGCATCTTTCTATATAGTCCTCCAGGCTGTCTTGGACTTATTTGTAGCCCAGGCTGGCCTCGAGTTCACTGCCATCCTCCCGCCTCAGCCTCCCTAGTGCTGGTATTACAGAAGTGCACCACCACACCTGGCTTCAACTTTAATTCTAAAAAGGTTTCTTTAAGTTCAGCAAAGATGATGGCTGAGCTAGGACATGATGAAAGCCTGTGAGATACTGAATGCTGTGACCAGGAAGAATAGGGATGTGTTCCGTATATTTCTGAAGAGTTAAATTGGGGGCTAGTGTAATTTAAAAGAATTGGTTTTAGGACAAATACAAGAAATTGCGCAAGTTACACTGTAACTTGTTTTCCATAATCTGTAAATGACAGAAGTTTAGGGCATCCCTAATCTTTTGAAGCAGGCATCTGTGCTCTGAACTTGTAACACATTTGACTCTAGTATTCCAAGGATAAGATACCATGGTGTAGCCTGACCCATGATAATTTCTAAATGTTTCTGCTACATGAAGTTTTTCAGGTTATAAGAAATATAATTTTTTTTCTATTCTTAATTTTTAAAAATTAGTTTACTAAGATGTAACATATATAGTAAGTGTGTGCTTAAGTATACAATAAATTTACACACACACAGAGAGGTAACTGCACAACAGAGGTAAATATACAAGATAAGTAATACTTTCTGCACCCCTGAAGTTTCCCTTATACCCATTGTTTGTCATCTACCATCCATCTCAGAGGGAACCAGTCTGACTTGTGTCACCGTAAATAGGTTCACCCTTTCTTGAACTTCATAAATGGAATTATTGTACAACTCTCTGTCACACTTTTTCACCCAGCATAGTGTCTCATTCATTCATATTTTGTGCGTATCAGTAGTTTGTTTCTTGTTGCTGCTTAAATAGTCATTGTGTGACTTTACCTCAGTTTCCTTACTCATTCTCCTGTAATTAATATTTAGCCATGTTTATAGGCCATGCATAAATACAGCTTCCATGAACATTCTTTTGGTGACCACAGTTCATTTCCATCTGTTCAGAATGGCTGGGCCGCAGGGTGAGCATATCTTTAGTTCTAGACACCTTGTCAGAGAGTTTTCCCAAAATGAGTGTGTTGATATACAGTACACCAACAATGTATGAGAGTTCCAGTTACTTTTCATCCTTTTCCATACTTGATATTACAGCCTTTTTATGTTAGCTGTTGTGAAGAGTATTCGAACCCTATATGTGAACAGCTGACATTACCCTTTTATTTATTTTTGGTGCCAGGGATAGAATCCAGGCCTCATGTGTGCTAAGCATATTCTCTGCCACTGAGCTGCACCCAACCTCTAGCTGTTGGTTGTTCACATCCAAGAATTGTTACAGTTTTTGTGTCTGTATGTTTAATTGGTGGGCTTTAACTATGAACAACTCCTCACTGTAGTTTTTAAACTAACCTATTACTATTTTTCCTTTCTCAGTGGTCACAGGTAGCACTGATGGAATTGGAAAATCATATGCAGAACAGGTAGGTGATTTTTAAAGATCTTGTCTTTCGTTATACTTAAAAATGGAATAATCTCATAGCAGTTTTGATGTTTTGGAGTTAAAATCAGAAATACAAGGTACAATGATTTTTTTTTTAAATCTGTCTTGTGAGAGATAACAAGTTTGTGGACATAAACAAGAAATTTTAAAGCAAATGTCTGCAAAAAAAAAAAGTGTAAAGCTTTTCATGCTGGTTTGTTGGAATTATGAGAAATTTAGCATGACTTTATTTTATATTGTTTAATTGTGGGAAGTCTTGAGTTTTTAAAAATCTAAAAGATAGACATAGTGTTATAGGTAGTCACATATCCAGAGTAGTTCAGAGCGTAACTTTTGCAAGGACTGAAGTTAACAGAAAGGTACTGGCAGACTCAGGCAAAGGATTGAGACCCTCTGCACTGTAGTTAAAGGCTAAGGAAGCGTAGTAGTTTGAATGCCATTGTACAGAGCAGGAACCTTGGCAGTACTCTTGGGATAAATTTCCCTGTTGTGTCTCTCTGCAAAAGTTACCCAGTTCTCATGAAGATGCTGGCAGATGCATTGAATTTCTCATTTATCCTTAACAAAGATGTTTTCTTTTTCTTTCAATCAGTGTTTTGTCTTTCCATCTTTTTATTTTGAAGAATTTCAAAACTGCAGGAAAGTTGCAAGAATACAATGAGTACTACACTCTTCATGTGTGTTCACTTACTAACATTGTCTACCTTTAAGTTAGTTTATTGCTATTATTGTTCCTGTCATTATTATTGTTATTTGGCTGAACTATATATAAGTGAGTTACAGACATCATGACAATTTACCCCTAAGTATTTCAGGATGCATTGTCTAAGATCTAAAGCATTCACCTTCATACTGCAATGCAGTGCTCACAGGAAAAGTTTAACTTAGTATGGTGCTATTATGTAACCTATAACCCACATGCAAGTTCCCCAGTTACATCCTTTATAGTTGCTTTTCTTGCTTCCAAGATCCGCTTAAAGCCTGGGCATTGTGTTTGGTATCAGATCTGCTTGTCTTCATTAATCTTGTAGAATTCCTTTCCAGTTTTTTTTTTTTCTTTTATTTATTTTTTCTTTTTTTTTTTTTTTAATTTTTTTTTTTGGTTTTTCTCCGGTACCGGAAACCGAACTCACGACCTTGCGCTTGCCAGGCAGGCGCTTTGCCGCTCAGCTAAATCCCCAGCCCCTTTTTTTTCCTTTTATAATAGTGACACCTTTGAAAAACTTTAGCTGATTGTTTTACATACAGATTTAAATTTGATGGTTTCCTCACGATTAGTTTCAGGATAAATATTTTTTAACAAGAATACCATGTGCCAATGGTATTTATCCTTCTAAGTTAATCTTATCAGTAGGTTCATGAAGTCCATTTGTTCCATTATTGATTATGTTAAGGTAAACAATTTATTAAGATTTTGCACACTGTAATTCTCCATTATTAAGGTAATTAATAAAGAATATATGGGATGATGCTTTGAGACTGTAAATGTCCTGTTTCCCAGAAATCTTCTGTCTAGTGGTTTTAAGATCCATTGATAATTTTTGTCTAGTTATTACCACAGTCATTTAAAATGATGATTTTTCTAAATATCTCCTACATTTATTAGATTGTGTTTTTCTGTAAGTTAGGGCTTTCCTTATTCCTCCTACCTCATTAATTTTTTTAAACCCTATCAATATGGGCTAATGGAGTCTTCAGTGGTTTTATAGCAGATTAATTTAGCCAATTACCAGCCTTTGTTATTTTTATTAAAAAATGTCTTCCATAGCTTCATTTGCAGTACCACTCATTACTTAATAAGAGCTGACTTTAGGATTTAGGCTTGGAATATTAGTTTACTAAATTACTTACAGTTCACAACACCAAATTTATTGCTCATTTATAAATTGTGTGGAACAGTCCACTAAGTTTTGTGCAAATATTTCTCTAGCCCTGTATTTATGTGTCTCTGGGATAGGAATGCATTCTTGCAAAGTTTTTTCATTCTGTACAACACTTGCACATCATTGGGTAGATGCATAATAAATGGTGCTTCTTAAGAGTTTTTTTTTATTAATTTAGACAATTAAAACTGTCTTAGTTTGCTTTGGTTGTCCATAAACTATAGTGCCCAAATAAAAACTTTTTAAATAGATTGTATTTTCAGGAATTGATAACATTTTAACTACTATTTTTGCCAACCCTCTGATCTTTGCTTTGTTGTTGTTGTTTGTTTTTGTTTCTGTTTTTGAGACAAGATCTCACTCTGTAACCCAGGCTTGCATCAGCCTCTTGAGTGCTGGAATTACAGGCATGAGCCACCATGCCTGACCTATGATCTTTGTTTTATGTGTCCAGTCTACAAAAACTTTTTTAAAGCTAAGTTTTAAATTACAAAATAGTAGACATTTAACACATTTTAAAGCCCTAACAATATCTACAGATCCAAAATGAAAAGTAACAGTCATTCTCCTTCTAAATCCCTTGGAGATTTAAATTCTTAATTTAGAAAGATAATCCTTTGGGGAATGCTTCTGTCAAGTATTTATTTTAGATTGCTTATTCATTACATTTGGGTTCTTATTTTTACATGAATTATTATCTGGTCAGGTTTTCTTAAAATGAGAATACAGGTACTCTGTGTTTTAAATTGAAATGCATAAGTGTGATTCAGATCTCTTATTTTTTCAGTTAGCAAAGCGTGGAATGAAGATTGTCCTGGTCAGCAGATCACAGGATAAGCTGAATCAGGTTTCCAGTGAGATAAGTAAGTTTTCACTTCAAACATCTCATGATTACAAAAGGAACTTAGCTAATCTAAGTTTAATGTTTTTCAAACAGATAGTGTGTTCTGTGAAAACTTCCTTATTCTGTTAATGACATGTTTTAAAGGTGGACCGTCTTTTAAATAATTTTACTAATCTTTCAAAATGATTTCATGGAATTATTTTAGGTCTATTGTAATTTTCTTATAATGTCTCTTACTGATTCAATTCTAGTGTTAGGAGTCAAACTGTCTTTATTTCATCACGTTGTATTGAACTATCTGATTTCTTTTCCATTGCTTCCTTTCAGTTTTCTGAGTAGTTTTTAATCTTCTGCTCCCTAAGTGCACTGAAACACATGATTGAGAAAAGGTAAAAAAAAAAAAGGTAGCGTGCACACTTCGCAGGGAAACTGTTTTAAATTTTGCTTTTAGCTATGCTTGAGACCTGAACTATTACGCAGCAGATACACTCTTAACTGACTTCTACTTAACCAGATGACTGAATCAGGGCTGTTCACCTCCTTGGTAAAATAGTGTGCTGAATTGTGTGGATGCCAGACTTCTTGATGGGATGTTTATGTACTAATACTTCTACAGGTCATTTCTTTATCAAGAGTCGAGGTGTTTGTTCCCAAACTTATGCTGGATACATTTGTTATTCCATATTCTGTAAATGCTGAAATATTATTATGGTAAGGGAACTTGTTTCTGTTAAAAGTACATTGAATGCTCAGGAAAAAAAAGTGAGAAAAATGATTTCTTTCAGAAATTCACAGTCAGATTAGGGAGGACCAAGACAAATGTAAAATGTTGGCAAGCTTATAAAGAGTTAAGAAATTTGCTCTGATTGTTTTGTAAGTGTTGAGGTTTTTGCAACACTTTAAAAGAACTAAAAGTGCATTTGTAAATGGTTATGTGGGTTTAGTACATGCAGGAAAGACTATGAAGTTCCAGGCTCCAGGTCCAGTGTTAAAGATAAGGCCTTAGCTCTACTGGGAAGGTTGGTGAATGAATTGCATTTACATATGGTTTACATTAAAATAAAATGGTTGCAATGTGTGTTTATCTCTACAATGCCTTGCTTTAACTTCTCTGTGGAGTCTACACATTGTCCCAGTTCTTTGAGATTATAGAGGGTTTCTTCTGTATTTTATTGACCCTTTCACTTTGTACTAACATATATGCAGTACTTCATTATCCATTCATCCCTTCACATGTGTCATTTCCTTTGGTCCTTCCAGCATCCTTTTGAGGGCTATGTTTTTGTTATTATTTCTGTCCAAGCCACAGCTGGTTCTAGTGGACAGATTACACACAATTGCACTTTATCTTTAGTGCATATCTGTGGGATTGAGCCCTGGGACTGTGACGCTATGTATGTGTTCCACCCTTGTGCTGTATCCTCTTGCCCCCCAAAAGTGAGTTTTTATTGGAGATTCCTAATATTAAGTTTGCAAAAATATTTTTCAAAAAATTTAAAAAACCTTCTTAAGAGCACAGAGCCTTACAAAACTGAGCATATGGTATGTAGGTAGTCAATAGATCTTTTGACATTTAAGGATTTTAACACTCAAGATTTTAGCTCTGTAAATGCAACCTTGAGGGACCAAGATGTACTGTATATTCCAATTTTTGATGAAGTGTGAATTTGCATTAAGTCATGACACTAATGAACCTGAGGTGTAGTTACTGAGATAACAGGTGAACTCTATACTGCCTGGACCTTAGTACTGTTTTGGTCTTTGGCTATTTGTAGCTATACATGTAACTCTTAAAGTGATAAAAATGTGTTTATGTGTATAGCAATTTTCTCTCTGTCTCTGTCTTGTCTGTCTTGCCCCCCTTCCCCCATCCCACAGGACTGATCCGGAGCTTGGCAGGACTCCCTACCTCCTATGACAAGTGTACAGCAAAGGCAATTAAAAAAAAACAAGTAATATGGTTTGTGGGGAGTCTGGGAAAGTCAGAACTCTCCTGGAGCTGAGACAAAGAGTTCTCTGATTGCTGTAGTGATTGGGTCCTTAACAGTTCAGGGGAATGCAGGAAGTGGAGGGCACACCGAGGCAAAAGCCTGGCATTGAGAAGTTACAACAAAGACATCAAAGCAGTAAATCTTGCTAATTAAGAGAACGGTTTGATCTCTAAGGTTGCCAGTTTATTGCTCTGGAATAGGGAATATCAGCCCCCTCCTCCCCAAGGTGTAGTCTTACCTTTCCTTCAGAAGCTATGAATATGAGCTTTTGGAACATAGCCAGAAGTCCCTTCATGATCAGCAAATTAACCCTTACACAGCCTGGTCCCCAATAGGTATTGAACCCAGATCCTTCACAGTGAACTACATCCCCAGCTCTTTTTATTTTTTATTTTGAGACAAGGTCTTGTTAAGTTGCTAAGTTGCCCAGGCTGGGCTCAAACTTGTGTTCCCCCTGCCTCAGCCTCCCAGAATGCTGAAACTACAGGTGTGTACCACCATACCTGGCTAGCAATTTGCTGTTAATGAAAGCCACTGCTAGTTGCTAAATGTAAATGAAATGCTAGCAGAAAATAAGAGCTTGTGATTAAACGGAAACATTGAATTTTGAAATGGTATGATATTAATGAACCTACCATCTATCTGATATAGGGAAAGTTACCTCATGACACTCTTAGCAAGTGTGTAGCCTGTACACGATCTGCCCAGAGAGTCAGAAGATAGACTTTAATGACTTTTAGGAATTTGGCTAACTTGTGATGTGAGGTGACATATGATTGCTGGTCGAAATGTGCTTCTGGAGAAAGGCAGGATCCTGTTCAAACATTTCAGGAAGGAGCAGATGGTAAAGGCACCGAACTGACCTTTATTGAAGAGAATATTTTTTCCCTGTTTTGGAAATTCTGAAAAAATTTTTTCTGGGCATAAAATAAGTTGAATGGAAGTAGAAGAAGCAGATCTTGTTGCCAGCTGAAGAAATACATAGGAGACTTATACGTTAGGATAAGCTTCTGAGATGTAAATGATCTCTTTGGGAGGATAACTTTTTATGAATGTCTCCATTCCAGGAGCAGGGAGGGACAGGATTTATTGTTAACAACGACAAGACTAGCTACATTTCTTTGGTTATGCCATAACACGTCTTTATTGAATGTATGTAACCAGCACTGCACTAGACAGTTGCGATACAGTGAAGAACAAGTTGGATGCAGTCCTTGCTCTAGGGAAGACGACAGTGAAAACAAATGGGTGAAAAACCAAAACCAATAAGACACCAAGACATGGGGGGGAGCGCATAAAAAGGATTAAGATGTGTTATGTTCATGTGCCAGCTCCTCGTGATGGTTGTAGCTATTATGTACTGCAAATGTGAACTGATAAAAATGCACAAAGTTTTATGAAAGCAGACAGTTATTGCAGTTTGTATTAAGTGCCGCTAAACAAACAAGCAAACCAAAAAGAGCAGAGAGCTAAAGAAAGAAACAGGAAGAGTCTCTTATTTTGTGGCAGCATAGTGAGTTTGGGTTGGCGGGGAGATAGAAGGACCTTAATAATAACTGGTTGACCTGTGATGATGCTCCCTCCAGTAATGACAGTCGAACTGAAGGTAGTGTCCAGTGGGCCCTCTGCGTGATGTAAGGATGGGGGATTGTGTGTATGTAAGTTACACATGAGAAATCCGCTCCAGCATCCCATGTTCCTTACGACATTGGATCCCTGCCTCTGTGGTCTCCTGTTCTCAGTAAATACAGGCTCTCACGGAGCCTGCATTTCAGTTAGCCAGCAATTCAACTACCAGGTCCCCTTCCGGCTATATGACTAGCCATGAAATCTGAATTCCCTGCCAGATGAATCATGTACAAAAGTCTGGCCCATTCTGGTGTTATATTCTGCTGGCTTAATACTCACACAATGCATTTTCACACATATTTCTGCATCAATCCCAAGTAGCAAGTTTGACAATTTTTGTGTAAATTATTAGTTTATGGATCAGATCTTGCCCTTGTCTCCCAGAAAATGCTGTTCTCTAGCCTCTCTAGGTGGGATTAAAAGGTGGATGAGTTGGAACTTCAAAAGAAGAGTAATTACCTTTCAAGAAAGCCACCCCTTCTGTTGTGGTGACATTACTGCAGGATCTTCAAGCAAGGGAGACCCATCTCCTTAGAGTCACAAGGATCGCCGTTTGTTATTGCAGTGGCAAAGGAGGCTGAGATCACTTAGGGTTCGGGATTGGGTCTACCTACATATCCCCATTCCAAGTCTCAAGGTCTCATTTGTGCCCATTCAGTACTTTGAGTTTTTGTCCGTTTACTTGTTTTTGTCTTTTTGAGACAGGGTCTAACTATGCAGTTCAGGCTGGCCTTCGGCTCACTTTGTAGCCCAGGCTGGTCTCGAACTCCCAATGATCCCTCTGCCTCAGCTAAAGGCATGCGCCACCACACCCGGCTCCATTCAGTACTTTGACTTTTTCAAGCAGAACTGAAATTCAGCTTATGTTGTAATTCTGCGACTGACACATTTACATCTGCTGTGAGCAGGTTGAGCTCTGTGACTATAAGTCGTAAAAGTTATTAGGACTACTAGAGTGTTCTCTGGTTCTCTCCTGGTAAATGTGAGTTGAAGTATAATGATCTGACCTTACAGCTCCTTGTAAAGATACCTGTCACCACTTGAATTAAGAGAAACTGAGAGTCATCACACCTGTAACAAACCTATTATCATTGCCAGCCAGGATTATTTATATGTTAAGTATTTTTGCCAATTTTGATTTGTCCAGTGTTTGAAAGCTGAAGTGACTTTAGAGTAACGCATAATACAAAGAAAACTAGCTTACAAAACCTGTTGGCTCACAGAATGTAGAGATGGTGATATTTACAGTCTGTGTTACTCTGAGGCAGTCAGTAATTCTGATTGGATGCACATTGATCAGCTTTGATTTAAAACAAGCTATGGTATTTCTCTTTGTAATTTATCCTTAGGTATAAAATTTTAGGATGAGTCTGTAAATCCATGGAATACTTGGCTGTAG